GGCACACTCTTGTGATCCTAGACGCTGGGAGACAGGCAGGAGGACCTCAAGTCTGCACCAAGTTAAAGCACTTCAGTGATTCTTCAAGACCCCCATCTCAAAAAGAGCTGGGGATGTGGCATAGGAAGGCCTGGGTTCAATCCCCAGTGTTACAAAACAAAAGTTACATAGTTTTATATATTTATGAAGCAGGGAATGAGAATTTCACACATACACAGTGAGGATGTAATATCAGCATTTCCATCTTGAACATTTGGTTAGGGGACCTTAAATTCCTCTTCTAGTTCTTTATGAAGTGTGTTAACAGGGCTAGGGAGATCACTCTGGAATAAGTGCTTACCTGGCAAGTAGAAAGGCCTGAGTTCAATCCCTGGTTCTGCCACCAAAAAAAATAATGTGTAACAGTTGAAAACTTTGCTACTGTGCACATTAGGGTTTATTCTCTTATTTACTGGAGTGGAATCCAGGGCTTCTACCCTGAGCCACATCTCCTTTATTTTCTGTTTTCAGACAAAGTCTTGCCAAGTTGCCCAGGCTGAGTTGACTTGCAACTCCTGCCTCAGCCTCCCAGAGTGCAGAAATCATTCCCCACCCCCCAAAGTTGCAACTCATGCCACAGCTGTGTAGTCACAAGACCCACATAGCCCGGCTGGGGCCGCTTCTGTGTTCGCTTCTGCTGGGGTAGAATTGTGCTCCTGAGGCTGTAGGGCTGAAGCTGGCATCTCAGCTGGCTGCATAGCCAACCACCGATCTTTTTTTTTTTTTTTTGGCGGAACCGGGGATTGAACTCAGGCCCTTGTGCTTGCCAGGGAAGCGCTTATTCCACTGAGCCATCTCCCTGGCTCCTAACCACCGATCTTTAACGGCAAGAACTTCCCAGTAACCCAGGCTGGGCACGGAGATTTCTGTTACCCTTCAGGGTTGTGCTCCATTCCTCTGCCCGTAAACGCACCCATTCCTCCTCCCTTGAAAGGGATGCTCTGGGACCCCTTGCTCCTCCTTAGGCCACCGCGGTGTCTTAAACTTAAGCAGAGAGGGGCTGGTGAGATGGCTCAGTGGTCTAAAGCACCTACTTAGAACAAGCTTAGTTAAAGCACAGGGACCGCGGTTCAATCCCCCAGCACCACATGCCAGTCAGCCCCGCCCCCTGGTGGGCTGAGCTGGCCGAGCACACATAAATAAATTAAACAAAAAAACAAGCAGAGAGCCCATTCCAGAACCCAGCGGCCTTTAGGTTGAGGCCTCTGACGCGTTTACCGAAGGGTGACTCCGGGTGCCGGAAATAACCAGGTCCGCGTCCTAGCGCAGCAGCTCTGGGTCCTGTAGCGCTTGGCAGCCAGCTGGGGGCGCTCCTCGCCCAGTTCTCGGGCTGCAGGGGCCCTTGGGTTTTTCCTTTGCTTGGCCCCGCCCACCAACAGGCCTTGCTCTATTAACCACATGGGGTCCCACCTGGAAATATCCAGTTCTAAAAAGGACTCCAGCCTTTACCCCGGGAGTGACCCAGCAAATGCCATTGTCACCGCCCTCGCGGCTCTCCGCTCATAGGTGGTGTGGACTGAGCATCCCACTGCTTCCTTCAGCTGGCCGAGACTGCTGGGCCTGTCCGGTCCAAGGTGGGCAGGTCCAAGGTGGGCAGGGCAGGACTGGGGTGAATTCCGGGCATTCCAGCTGGGCTCCGCTGCCAGGGAAATGGAAAATGCCAGGTGGGGTGGGCTGGGCCCTCTGCTGCCCTGGGGGTCGCAAGTTTCTGCCTGCAAGCCCTTCTGCACTGAGTATTTTCCCCAGCCCATCAGGGACCCGGCTTCCTGAAAAGGACCGAGCTCTCTGCCTTGGCCCACTTTGAAAGCCCTGTATGAGTATAAAGATTCCAGTTTTATATTTTAATAATATGCGAAAATAGCATTCCACCCCAGGGTGTTGATGCGCATCCGTTGGTCTTAATGTAAAAGCAATCGGTAATGCTCATTTTCAGGAAAAGATGAATGTGTGCCTGGTGCAGACACAGTAGTCACATATTGGACACTTCTGTTCCTCATACTTGTCTCAAGGAGGGTGCTGTGACCCAGTCAAAGCCCGAGTCAGACAGCACCCGTTTTCAGAGGAGGAACTGAACTGCAAACAGACATGTCATTTTTTTCTACGGGAAGGGACAGGAGTGGTCAGTCTGGGCTGCTGAACCAGCTCAGCCCTGACACTGTGCCCTGGAGGAACACAAAAGGTTTCCTCCTTCAGGATGTTTCAAATAATCTGGAAAAAGTTTTCTTGCAGTGCCAATACTGTTGAATTCCTCCAAACCCCAAAATACCGAATTTCCAAGCCACTCATTGGACATTACATTTCTCTGTTCCCTGGGCTTTGGCAGAAAAACAACAAACACATTTACTATCGAGTTACTTGTAAGGGAACAGGGAGAAGAAGGGTGACAGTTCTGGGGAGATGGGGGGTCGGGCTGGAAGTGTGCGTTCCAGTGGAAGCCTGTGCTCCCCAGCTGGGGTGCCCATACTGGCCCAGGAACAGGCCCTCTTTGTTACAGGCAGGATTCCCCCAGTGATCTCTTTTAGTTATGTAAATGTAACTGCATCGGCACCCCAGCCCTGGGGAGAGCATAACAGAGGACATTTTGGGGCCTGATAAATAAAGGCTGCCCTTTCCCAAGGCCTCTTAGAATGGTGGTGGGAGAAGAAGAGACTTTCACAAATGAAGCCCAGCGTCTTGGGGGAGGAAAAGGCTCCAGACCAGTGCCCACCTGCTGTCCCAAATTGGGCTGGGAGCTGACTCAAATCCATTGTTACCAAAGGCCTGGGAAATTGCTTCAGTAGGCCAGAGCTTGAGCGAGTTTGTGCAGCTGGTTGGGAGCCCCTGTCACCCTCAGCATCCAGCTGCTCGGAGTTAGGAAGACTGAGCTGCTGAGGGTGGCAGAGGAGGACATTAGGTGTCTGGAGTTGGATCACATGCATGAGAAGCCACTGTACTGTGCTGGCCCCGTGTTCAACAGCGCCGCCATGTGGAGAGAGGGTTAACAGCTGTGATGCTGGTGAAGTGCACTGTTCTTGGGGAGGGACTCCTACCCAGTTAGTGGATTTTCTGTCCAAATGTAACCACGCTAAAGTCATATAAAAAAAATTAAGTTATATTGATTATACCTGGTAAGTACCACAGGGCGAGGCATATAAAACATGCTCCCTACAGTGGCAAATGTTACTAGTATTGGGATCTAGAAGACAATACCCCAGAGCCCAACACTTTGGCAGGTGGAGGCTTTGAACTAAAGGAGGCTGGAAAGTAACCTCTCTGACAGACCCTTATTTTCCCCTGACACCCCTCCTACTGCCCTGTGGCTTTATCCATCTTATCTTTCCTGGAGACCTGGGTCTTCATTTCTGGAGACTCCCATGTCACATAAACCGATGAAGGAAATGGTGTGCTCTTCCCTTGCTCAGCCACCTCTTGTCATGGGAGTCTAGGTCATGACCTTTCTAATGGCTCAAACTATCAGGAAGTAAGACTGTAAATGCCAGCATCTTCTAGAAGGACCTTTGTCTCTTTCTTGAAAGGATCATCAGTGAGCTGTCTTCAGAGGCAGCCAGGATGGGGGCTGGGGACACATCCCTAGGGTCACACTCCCAGGCAAACTGGAAAAAATGGCCAGCAGAGTGGGGTGGCGGGAGCCCCACCAGGAGCCCGGTGAGGGCACAGCTAGCTGAGGGGCATCTGGAAGGCCTTTGGCAGTTCTCCTAGGTCTGAGCCCCTTCTTTTTGACCCCCCCCCTTTTTTTTGTTTTTTGCTAAGTGGGCAGAGACAAGGACAGAGGGAGGCCTTGGTACCCTGTACCTGTACGCCCTTCCTGGGCTGCCTCCCTATGCTGTGGGTGGGGCTAGGGGTGAGGACATGGTTTCAAGGTTCCTGCCCAATTTGCTGGGCAGCTTTTGTGACTCTCCAGTACATGCTCCCTAGTCTCCCTGCACCACTGCCACAAGGCTGTATCTCCACATAGGCTTTTCCTGACTTTTGCTTCTCTCTCAGCTCACTGCCACAGGCGTTTGTCCACTCCTCCTTTAAGACAAAGGTGTATTGCAGGCCACCCTGGAGCCCCTCCCCCTTCTGCTATGCTAATGCTGGTCTCTTCCCTCTTCCAGCAAGAGGCAGTGAGCTGGCAGCCACAGGTCCCAGTGGGCACAGGCTGCTCCCACTGAATGGAAGTGTGCAGGGCCTCACAGCCACTGCCCCAAGCTGCTGGCCTCCTGCCCTCAGTACCCTGATGGCTTCCCAAGCCCAGAACTGGCCTTGCCTACCTCCCAGCTTCAGCACCCTGCCAGTGATTGCTCCTAGTCCTCCAGTACAGGTACAAGCCCCCAAGGTGGAGGCAGTGTCCCATCCACTTCCCCAGTTGTCCCTGAGCTGCTCTCTCTTGGCCTAGACAGGGAACTCTGGGAACAGGCCCTGGATCCCGCAGCCTACTGCAGGATGACATGGGGTATGATGCTCTCTGCAGCGTCACTGTGTCTAACAACTCCTGGAGCAGGACCCTGCTTTGTACTGAGCTCCACAAAGGCCAGCCATGCAGGAGGTGCCAAAGGGAGAAATGCGAGCTGCGCAGACCCTTGTCCTTCCCTGGGGCTTGGACCCAGGTGGCTATTAGCTTGCTCCAGGAGTCCCCTGCTGCTCTCCTGGTACCCCAACTGCCAGACCTGGACCCCACCGAGCCCGTGGCATTGCTTCTCATTGGAGGGCCACCGATTCCTCCTTCTGGAACTAGTTGTGCCCTTGACCCACACCTGCACCCTAGACAACTGGCTACATCAGCTCCCAGGCCTCTTGCAGCACTGACACCTTCATTGTCATCCCAGTGCTCCCCCCACAGCTAAAGTCCTTTCCAGGGGTCTCATGCACCCAAGAGCCAAGACCAGCCTGGAGCCAAGACCAGCCTGGAAGTAGTGTCTCAAGGGACCCGCAGCAACCTTTCCCAAACAGGACCCAGATGAAGGCAACAGGGTTTCACACCAGAGAAAAACTGGTCCCGTTTTATTGAGAAAATAGAGACCATCCCTCCACCTTTCCCAGGGGACTCCACCCCAAGTTGTGGTGGCACCCTTGTGCACCCACCACCATGGGCCCCTCCCATCCTCCACAGGGGAAGTTGGAGTGCAGGTGAGGAGGGGCTGTGTAGGGCAGGAATGCTTGGTGGGGCTGAGGGAGGACTCCTCCCCATTCAGGCCCGGAGTCTGCTCCCACTGAATTCTCCATAAATAAAACTTCACAGTAAGATTAAAATCCACTTTCAGGACCAAGCTGACTAGTTTTGGGCCAGGGCGCCAGCCTTGGTCAGGACCTAGTGGCCCAGAAGCGCTGCTCCTCTGCCCGGTAGCAAGAGTGGGGAGTGGGGTGGGAGCTCAGCTGAGGTAGTAAGGGCCGCTTACACGGTCACACTTGAAGCTGTGAGAAGAGCATTGGCTGCAGCTCACCCAGCTGGCCCAGGGCCATTGAGTCTATGGGACCTCCAAGACCAGGGGACAGGAGGTACCTGTGAACCAGCACAGGGCTGAGCTGCTTGGGCCAGGGCCCTGTGGACACTGAGGCATTTCACAGGAGAGGTCCCTGTGAAGACCAGAGGCAGCTGCAGAGCCCTTGGGCCAGGTCCAGCCTGGGTACCTGAGCACAGGTTTCTGGCAGAGGCCACCAGGGCCTCCCAGAAGGACAGTCCCTCAGATGTTCCCAGCCTGGGCAGCACCCCATTCCCAAGCCTCGACACATGGGAATTATCTGCCTGGGGAGGTTGCCCTACAGCTCTGTGCACCCTACCACACCCAGGGGCATGGATAGCCGAACCCTCCACCTCCCTGGGGACCAGAGGCCCTGTCCAGCACTGTGGCTCTGGTTGGTAGCTCCATGGCATTAGAGCACCTGCAGCTTGCGGGAGCAGGTGAGATTGCCATGCACCAGTCCCCACATGGCCAGCAGCTCTGCGGGCAGCAGCTTGTGCACCACAAGCATGGAGCGGAAGAAGCAGGGCTCCTTGTTCATGCGGCTGGCCCGGTTCCGGGAGATGCCAAAGGTCTTGAAGCCCTCGTGGCCTGTGGGCTGCACACCCAGCACCTCCAGACACATGCCCAGGAAGACGTCATCAATGGGGTAGAGCTCCAGGGTGTCACACGCGTGGTGCAGGCGCCGTGCCAGGCCACCAGCCATGAGGAAGCCACCACCGCCAGCATAGGGTGGGTAGCTGGGCTTTGTGTAGAGCACGGCCGGGATGTAGTACTTATTGTCCTTCCTGCGGATTGGCCGCGCGTGCTGCAAGACATCACCCACGAATAGGTTTTCCTGGGGCCGCCGGTCGGCCAGGAACTCCAGCAGATTGGTGGGGTTGACGAAGACGTCATCATCACCCTTGAAGATGAAGGGGACATTAGGGCAGTAGATGTCCAGCCACTTGAGGAAGTGGATCTCCTTGAGGGTCAGGTTGAAGAAGCTGTCTAGAAAGTCCCACTGCAGGATGTCGCCATATAGGCGGTCCTCATAGGCCAGCAGCTGTTGGTAGTGGGCCCGTTCCTCCTGCTTGGATGCTGTGCCCAACAGGAAGAGGGTACGCACAGCGCCCCGGCCCCTGCCCGCTGACTCCCACTCTCGTCCCCAGGTCTGGCGGATGGCCTCACGGCGGTCATGCTGCGTAATGACCGACTTCACCACCACCAGTAGGTAGACATCGCCTCCACACTTCTCGGGGTGGTTCAGCAGCATGGGGAAGTACCGGCAGTGGCGATAGGTAAGAAACTGCCGGAAGTGCGGCTCCAGGCTCTGGAACCAGGACTGATGGGTCAGGTTAATGTTGGCTGAGCAGTTTGTGGTGGTCACGTCCCAGACCTGGGGCCCCTGGGAAGCCTCTAGGGTGGGGGTCACCACATCACTGGGGCTCTTCCAGAAGTTGTTGAGGTTCACCTGGTGCCCACTTGGCTTCTGGGCCTTCAATGGCCCAAGTGTGACTGGCAGGGATTCCTGCAGAAACTGGTTGGGGGTCAGACTGCGCTGGAAAACTGTCACGGCCACCAGGAGGGCCAGGGCCAGGGCCAGGCTCTTGTAGAGGGTTCTCCTCCTGGGGGCACAGAGGGAGAAAACAGGTAAGCGGGTCCACAGGAAGCCCTCCATGGGGTGCATGGGCTCTGTTCCCCAACAGGTCAGATTAGGGTCCTGTTGCCTCTTCCCGCTATGACCTCCTCACTCAGGAAGCCCTAGTGATCAGGCTCCTGCAGTTTCAACCTCCTTCTCTAAGCAAATGGACGGAACACACCACGGGGCTGCTAGCCAAAGCCAGGCACCTAATGGTGTGCACTTGGAAATGCAGTCATCTCACCCAAGGCACCCTGGTGGAGACCTCTGTCCTGTGCCCTGTCGTGCGGCTTTCATGTCCTGATGTAACCCGGAAGCCATGGGCAGTGGTACCAGCATGTGATTGAACTGGGGCACCCGGAGGGCAGCCTGCGGGCCCCGTCACTTTAGAGGCACCTTGGGGAGTGCGCCCTCTTTGGAGAACCTCAGTCTTGTGCCCCAACAGCAAAGGGCAGCCCTCATAGTGGAGAAGAACCCTGAAGGCTGGGTGGGGGACCTCTGGGGTGATCAGTGCCTCTCCCCCTCCCTTAACACCTCCGTGTGGCCCCCAGCTCAGCCGGACAAACCTTGCTTCGGTAACCCCACTACACCCACTCAGGAAGCAGAAATTCCAGGGTCTCTCCCGCAGCGTTGTCCCTAGGGTCTGGGGCATGCGCCGCTCCCCCAAGACTCTCCATCTCAGCTCACGCGAGCTGGGGAGGGTAGGCTGCGCCCCCGCCCCTCGCGTGCAGAGCTCCAAGGCCAAGCGCGGGGCCAGCCCGGGTGAGGGGACGCGAGGCTGGCCTCAGGCTGGCCGGGCTGCAAGTCCAGTGCCTGGCTGTGCCTACGAGCGAGTTCCTCCCACGGGGCCCCATGGTTTCCCGGTTACCAGGTGGGGGAAGCCAGTCTCCTCGGTGCCGGGTTAGGGGGTGTGACCGGGCGCAGCGCACCCCGGGAGGGAAGTGTAGGATTCCCGGTCTGCATCTTGGGGGTTCCAGGAAACCCTGTACCCCAGTTCGGAGCGCGGGCCGGGGGTAGAGCACCACAGCATTTCCAAGAGAAAAACCCGAGAGGGCGGAGAGGGGTCGAGACGAAGTGCGGAGGCACGGGCATAAGAGGCGCTAGGACATCTCCGAGCCCCGCCGGCGCTACCTGGAGTGGCAGCATCGGGGCCCAGGGGCCGCGATGAGGGCCCGGCGCGCACCCATGGTTCCCGGCCACCTAAGATTAGGGCGAGCCTGGGTCGCCCCGCGCGGACCCCAACTCACCAGAGCGACATGGCGGCGCGGCCAGCAGCGCGGGGCGCGCGGGGCGCAGGTCTGGCGTGCGGCGGGGACGACGAGACTTTGCTGAGGCAGCCGCGCCCCTGCGCGTCTTCTTTCCCGTAGGAGGGCGGAGGGGGAGGGGCGGCGGCCAGGTGCGTTAACCCCTTCGGCGCCGCGGCCAGCGCCCCCCGCCCGGGTGTCCGTCGCCTTCCCCTCGAGTCCCGCTCCGAGCGCAGCGCGCGGGGCCGCGCCGCCTGCGGTCGCGGGACACGCCGGCCACGTGGGACACGTGACACCCGCCCACCTCCACGCCCACTCCGCCGCCCCGGGGCCCGCGCGGACCCGCCCCGGGCTGGGTGGGGCACCTGCGGACAGATTCTGTTTCCCCTTTGCTACCGGTGCCCTTTCCTCCTTCCAGGCCTCGGGCACCCGCACTTGGGCTGGGCCTTGGAGGAAGAGGGACCTGGTTGGCCGCAAAGGCGCCACCGCCAGGCAGAAGGGGCGGGAGGCCAGGCTGCCTGTGTTGGACCCCAGCCCAGCCACGGGGATACCTTCTACCTCCGAGGATTCCCCCACGTCTAAGGAGAGCCTGCCATCGCCCTGGGGGCCCCACTGTGGCCCTCAACAAGGAACGTGAAACACCTTTTCATCCCAGCAGCACGTATTTCCCTCAAAACCTTTTTTGTCCCCAAGCCTTTATTGATCTGCTTGTGTGCCAGGCACGGCTCCTCTCCGTCTGCACGCAGACACAGACCAGGGAGCGGGCATGTTGACCCAGGTTGTGGGGTGATGTCCCTGGCCAGGGGCCCTCCTACAAGGCCCTCTACTGACCATCTGGTCTTGTTCCATGTCGCGATCCCAAGACTGAGCAAACTGGACTTCAAAAATGACCACAGAAATGGGGCATCCATTGTACCCGCAACTCCTGGGGAGCCTGCGGCAGGAGGATTGCAAGTTGAGGGCCAGCCTGGCTACCCTTAAGGAGACCCTTTCTCAAAATAAAAGTAAAAATCAGAGAGGTATCGCCCCCGATTCCTGTCGTGGGGCCAGGGGAGCGCCTGTAGAATCAAAACGATTTATGGTCTGCTGGTACCGGGTCAAGTGCATTCACTGGCATAACCTGCCAATCCTAGTTCCAGGCTCAAGCCTAGTGCCAGACTCGGTTCATGAATGGCTCTAGAGGTCCATATGGTAATTACCCTGACTGCTGGAAGTGCAGAGAGGAGAGACCAGGTGAGGAAACTTCCGGAGCTACTGAGCCACTTTCCTGCGGGAGGCTGGAAGGCCCTAGCTGGGTCCCAGTGTGTCCAGAGCCCCTCGAGCCCTTTCCATAAGGCTCAAGGGTGACTTGGAAGGGGAGGAAAAGTTTGAGGAACAGTGGAATATTCCGAGATGTTGTAAACTGTGATCAAGAAATCAAGTGCCTTCCAGGCTACATTCCAGAGGCAAATCCAGTCAAAACCGATCTGAAGTACTAGGCAGGAGGACAGCACAGCTGCAGTCCGAAGTCCCATTGGCCAGGCTGCCTGTCAGTGAGGGCCAGTCGCAGTCCTATTGGTTCCTTTTTCCCAACTTGGCCCGCCTTGTCGCGTTTGACCAAACCCTCCCGGCTGCACAGGCGGGCTCTTGGATCCCCTGGGCCCTTGAGGGACCCCTAGGATCACTATTTCTGACCTGTAGGCTCACCTGTCATCTGGGGTCTCTGGAGATGCCAAGGGAAGGCTGGACACGGATCTTTGAGGACTGAGGGGCTAAGGGGGGGATGGGTCCCGGCCATGCACTTCCTGGCTGCCACTTGGGGCTGGTGGCTAATCTGCCCCCTAACCCCCCAGGACCTCAATTTCCTGCCTGGGCAGAGCTGTGTGAGATGACGCATGGGAAACACGCATATGAGTGTCCCCTATCTGCATCGTGGTGACAGCGCAGGTAGCTGCAACATTTTGATCTTTACTGTCTGACCTAACCCACCAGACCCCAGCACCAGGAGGCTGTGAAGAGGGGCCACGGCAACGGGAGGAGCTGCCAGATGAACCAGGTTTGCAGATAGGATCGGGTCCCTGGAGACACTGTCAAGATGGAATTATTTGGTGCGCTTCTGAGTTGAACTCAGAGTGGGGGAAATGAGCTACAACCACGTGAGTTCCTGAGCGTGGGTGGGGGTGGGGACTGGGAGCCTAGCTGGGCCCTGAGATCCCCCATGACGCCCACATCCCCTGGTCAACCTGCCAGCACCGCAGATAGCTGTAGAGCAGCACAGAACCAGGGAGCTGTGCTAAGCCTACCCGCAGTGCAGTCAGCACACAGGAGGCCCGGTGGGGAAGGAAGGGAAGCAGGTGCCCTAGCAAGTGTCCTGAGCGTTGGTCAGCTCTGTGCCCCAGCTTGCTGCCCTGGAAGGAGCCTCCATGTGCTGGGCCATGAGAGGACCCCAAAGACCCCTCCTTTTTCTCTATTTCTCCTTCCTCATTGCCTCTTTCAGCAGCTCACTTCCGCTTCCTCCTCCCCATTTGCTGGGGATCCAGACCCTGCTAGTGCTCACAGCACAGGGAAAGTGTGGGCAGACGTCTGACCACAAGGGGACATTCTGGGCCAGTGCTTGGGGGGCACAGGTGGGGCTGACCTGGGCCAGAGGAAACCACAAACAGCATGTGAGTAGCCTGGTCCTCTTGGAAAGTGCCGGTGTAGGCAATGGTAAAGAACTGTGCTGTGGCCATTGCTTTACCAAAACCGCACACTGTGAGTATGTGATTTAATTCCAGTGTTTGAGGGACCATGAGCTGGGTGTGGCAGCACACACCTGTAATCCCAGCACTTGGGATGCTGAGGCAGGAGGATTGTTGCAAGTTTGAGACCAACATGGGCTACAATGTGAACTCTAGGCCAGCCTGAACTGTATAGCAAACCTCAAAATACAAAAAAGGTCTCAAAGGCCAGTGAGACAGCTCAGCAGACTGTATCACCTGCTTAGGCAAGTTTAGACAAGCTCAGGGACCTCTATTCAATCCCTGACACCACCTGCCGTGCCAGCCACACCCCTGAGTGGGCTGAGCTGGCCAGGGTCAGGGCTTGGTGGTGTATGCCTGTAATGCCTGTGCTGGGGAGACTGAAAACAGGAGGATCACTATGAGTCAGAGCTGCATAGTGAGACCCTGTAACAACCAAATACATTTGAAACAAACAAACAAATGGTCTCAAAAGACAAAACATGTCTCACAAAGACCAAAAAAAAAAAAAAAAAAAAAAAAAAAATACTAGGAGCAGAAATGTACACTCCCGAGATGGAGCAGCTGGGCCTTTGATGTGACTGTCTACACTCGTGGTGGAGGGTCTGGGGATTGGCACCAGAGGACTGTTCTTTAGTGGAAGAAGTAGCATGAGCTCAGCCAACCCAGGGAGCAGAGCTGGGGGCGCAGAATTTTTTCTAGTTGATCCTGTGCCCCACCTAGATGTGACTTTGAGTTTTGCAGGACATGGGTCCTCACATGCCTAACCCACCCTGAGAGGTGCTTCTCTGAGCCCAGACTGTGCTAGGAGATGTTCAGTGAGCAACTTCCCCTAGGAGACTTGATTTCCTTGTTCCCAGCCCTCTAATGAGGGCATGTGGGGCTGAAGCCTCTTGGCTCCTTCTGGGTTACCAGCAGCCACTGCAGACAACCTGGCTCACTATGCATTTGTGCTGGAAGGGCCTGGGGGCACACAGGTGAACTGGGTTTGTCCCTGCACTGGTGTCCTCCAGAGACCACAGCCCATGAGGCAGGGCCCGACCTGAATCCAAGACCCAGGGAGTTGGGGGTAGAGAATGAGCAGGGGACACAGGTCCTCACCCCAAGGGCTGGAAGAGGGGAAACAGCCACAAGGAACAGCAGCAATCGTGGAGACGGAGACTGGAGAGCACAGGGGTGGAGGAGGTGACATCTTTAGCACAGGCAATGTCTGTGGCCATGTCCAGGAAGTCCTCACATGGGGGAGGACTGTGCAGAGAAGCCTAGATTGTACAAGCTGACCTGAATGGAGGGAGGCCTGGGGGGCTGGCTGTAGTCCATGCACAGTTCTCTGGCCCCTCTCCTGTGTCTGGGCACCTGCCAGGTGGTCGGAGAACAGCTGAGGACACCATGGCTTTGTGCAGGCTGACTGGGCAGCCGGATGGAAGCCAGAGTTCAAAGAGGCCCAGGACCTGGGGGCAGGCATGGCCAAGAATCCAGGCAGGGAGGCTATGGCGCAGCTGGCATGGGCTGCTGCTCCCTGAGGTTGCCTGTGTCCTGGGCAGCACCCCAGGCTTTCAGGCAAACACACAGATGTGCACACCCCAGTACATGCAGAACAACATGAGCACATGCACCCGGGAACACAGACGTGCAGAGAAGAACACACGTTGTACACACATGCTTGTCTGGCAAGCTCTTGGGAACAGGCTCAGGACCAGGCAGGTCCCTGCTGCATTCCTGAACACCCTTCTTTGGGTGTCAGGTTTTTGTTTTTGTTTTTTGAGACAGGACCATGAAATATGGTTCAGGCTGGCCTTGAACTCTGTTGCTCTCTAATATATTTGGTACAGAGTCTCACTACGCAGCTCAGACTCATAGTGATCCTCCTGTTTTCAGCCTCCCCAGCACTGGGAATACAGGCCTGCGCCACCATGCCGGGACTCTGGATGGCTCAGCACGCCTGAGGGGGCAGGGCCAGCACAGGGTGCGGTATGGGGATCCAACCCTGGTCCCTGGGCTTGCCTAAGCAGGCGCTTAGCCCACTGAGCTATCTTGCTGTCCCTAAACAGTCTCTTTTGATTGTACCCTTCCTCCTGGGACCTTCTGGGTATTGTCCAGAACGTTCAACAGCCACATCTGTCCCCAGCAACCTGGCTTTTCCCCTCAGCAGAACCCAGCCTTCTGTTCAAATGTAGTTTTTTTTTTTCTGATTTGGGTAAACTCCTGCTTGGCCTTCAGAACCCATCCTAAGGTTCCCTCCCTGGAGTAGGTGCTTCCTGAGCATTTGCCCCTTCCTGGCATCACTCTGTCCTCTGCCAGTACAGTCTGTTTTCCTGGTGGGCAGTGTGGGGAGTGCAAGCCCAGTGAGGAGGGTGAAGGCCTGGTGTGACAGCCACTGTCGGAGCTGATGGGGTGTCCCCACCCCACCCCCAGCACAGTGGGCCAGACTCATGCGGACACACTCACGCCAGGGTGGCCAGGGCCTGGACAGCTGTCCCCCGGCTGCGCC